TCTATCTGTCAAAGTTAAAATGTTTTGTCATGGTATGCTTTTATGAAAAAAATGTACCATCTTTGTTTACCAGTGAATAAGCTACAGTAGTACCCTAAGTTCAATTATTACCACTTAAATTAAGTGGATAGATTCAGAGATGAGGAGGAGGATGTCATCATCTGGTTATCTATAGGGCTCTTGTGCTAATTGAGTCACACAACACATGTACAGAGCCATGGTGGCACAGTGGTTAAAGTGCAGTATTGCAGGTTAACTCTGCCCATAGCCAGGAGTTTGATCCTGACCAGCTCAAGGTTAATTCAGCCTTCCATCCTTCCAAGGTTGGTAAAATGAGGACCCAGATTGTTGGTGGCAATAGGCTGACTCTGTAAACTGCTTAGAGAGGGCTGTAAAGCACTATGTAGTAGTATATAAGTCTACATGCTATTGCTATTTGAACTTAATTTTTTAGGTTCCCAAAACATCCTAAACCAGCCAAAGGTGATTGATGGGCTGAGTGTAATCTGGAATATCCCTTTATTATCATCAGAATATCCTCATAATGATGCAGCAGTTTTTGGCATTTGTTTGGGAAAGAGGGAACTCTTTAAAACATGGGACAGTTTTCCTACAGGGAGTAGTTTAAGGGGAAAAATAAATTCAAGGATATAGGCTCTTGGTTCCATATTTTTCCACAAAAAGATGGGAAGTTTTGACTATGTCCACTGCAATACCAACAGAGTATCACAGTATTGCAATCATTGGAAGCCAACAACAACAAAATTATGTGACCTGGCTACTGGAAAGCCACGAAGCTAAAATGTGGTTGGCTAGTCAGTAGCTGTGCAAACAGAAGCCTAGAAAGGCTGGGATAGAAGGCAACTGCAAGGATGACAACAGAGCACATTAAACAAAAGATCCAGTTGTGGGTCTCCCCAGGATAAATGAGCATCAGTTAACTACTTGACAGCGCCAGATATAGTAATGTGTAAATGTGAATAAACAGATTGTATAGTCAGTCCTCTTAAATATGAAAAATGCAGACTCTTCTTAACATCTCAATACAGAGAGATGTTCTTTTCTTAGTTGTATTTAAAAAACATAGCAGTTTTATCAAAACATCCCTTGTGATTTTAATGTCATTTCCCATTTCATCAAATGTTTATGAACCTAAATGGAAGCGTGTTTGTTTGTTTGGTAGGGAGAAGCTTGGGGTGCACATATGTGGGACCTTGTTTATTCTTCCAGAGAAATAAATAACCACAAAACAAAACCTCCTCGGCTTCCATAACATCCAATTTGCAGATTTAGAATAAAAGATCTAACTGTGTAAAAACATTTTTGCTACTGAAAACAAACACAATGTACTTGCAGATTAATTAAAAAAAATCCAATGAATTAACTATTAACTATTTTGAAAATATGCACTCAATTTGATGACATTCACTCTCAGGAACTTTCATATTGTTTTGCAGCCTAAAGGAATGGAAGCCTCTTATTGGAATAAAATGATTGTCTATCTTCTGAGATCAGAGGTTATGAGGGATTGAAAGACACAAATGCCACATGAAACAGATATGCGAATTCTACCAAATTCAAATAATACTAGCCAAAGATAATACTCAGAAATGTTAAGAAAAATCAGTTTGAAAGCTTTGCATTTGAATCCCATAACTTTCATGAGCATTTTTGTTTATCTCCAGGAAAATAATGGGACCATAGAATCATAGGGCTAGAAGGACTTTGGAAGTCTTCTAGACCAACTCTCTGACCAAGGCAGGAGATCTTATTGCATCCTGGACAAATGGCCATCCAATCTTTTCTTGAAGACCTCCAGTAATGGACACCTACAACTCTGGGAGGCAAACTTTTCCATTGATTAATTGTTCTCACTGCCAGGAAGTTTCCCCTTAGTTCCAGATCTCATTAACAATATTCCAACCATTACTTCTTGTCCTTCCTTAGATACTTTGGAGAATAAATCAACTCTGTCCTCCCCATGACTGTCCCTCAAATGCTGGAAGACAGTTAGCATATCATCCCCAATCCTTCTCTTCATTAGGCTAGACATGCTTAGTTCCCTTAACCATTCATCCTACAGGTTTGCCTTTAGTCCCCTTAACATCTTTGTCCCTCTTTTCTGCACTTTTTCTAGGGTCTCAGCATTGTTTTTATATTATGGTGACCAGAATTATACATAGTATTCCGATTGTGGCCTTACTAGTGCAATATAAAGTGGTACTATCACTTCTTGTAATCTTGATATGGGGGTGGACTGCTATGGGTTTACCCGGGTTCAGGTGAACCCATAGCTAATGTTATGGCTGGTTTGGTGAACCACCAAATCCCACCCCTAGCTGGCCCCACCCTCCCCTCCCCGGAGTCTCCTCGTGGCCTGTTTTGGATGTGGGGTAAGTGCAGGGCTTGCGCGGAGGCTCGTGGAGGGCAAAATATGGACCTCCCGGAAGTTCTAGAAGGCCAGAAAAGGGTCTGGAAGTTTCTGGCCTCCAGAGCCCAGGGGACGATATTTTTGCCCTCCCAGAGGCTTGAGGAAAGCCCCTGGAGCCTGGGGAAGGTGAAAACGTCTCCCCTGCCGTGGTGCAGGAGGCTGACTAGACCACGCCCACCATGGCCATGTCCACCCAGAAAACGGGCAGAGAACCGGTTGCTGAAATTTTTGAAGCCCACCCCAGTCTTGATGCTATATCTCTGTTGATGCAGCCTAGGACTGCAGTGGCTTTTTTGGCAAGTGCAGCACACTGCTGCCTCATAGTTAAGTGATGATCCACTAAGACACCAAGATTCCTCTGGTTTTCTGCTAATCATTTTGAGTTATTCCTCACCGTCTCCTTTGAACGCTTTTTCTCATTCCACCAAAATAATATTCCGAAAGAGGAGATTTGAAACCAGACATTATGTGAAACCTTATATCAGATTATATTGCTCTTTCACAGAGAGCGTTTCCATGTCTTGAATGATTCCATTTATTTCTCATTTAAACTGATAGCTATCCTTTATACCAAGTTTTATTTCTCTAGAGGAGTCATGCATTTCCATGGTCACAGAATAACAGTAGCTTTTCATGGAGTCTATATTCAACCTTCAGGTCAATGATTCTCTGAGAAGGTAACTATTCCCAGTGACACATAGGTCTATCTTGCAGGCCAGAGTTTTCCTATACATGTCAGTCACTCAGAAAATGCAGAATCTCTGGGGATGCATGGAATACATGTGAAGACACATTGCTTAGAGAAATACATTGACCAGAAATAAACTGCAAATATCATGCATGCATACCATAATAGTATATGGAGATAGAATAGAATAGAATAGAATAACAGAATTGCA